CTAGAGATTTCTGGCCATCACTCACCTCTTACAGCTGCTATAATCCAACCTTCTCCAGTTTATTCTTTAGAAATTCTAGCAAATTGTACCCATTTGCGCTTTTCACTCTTGACCTCCTGACTTCGAACTCATGCACCACCTGCCTTTGCCTCTAAAGTGCTGGAATTACAGGTGTGTTTAGGGATGGTCCGTTCCTCTTACAAGTTTTGAAATATGTTTACTTGCCCATGTGTGTGAACAAAGCAGCAATCTGAGAAGTGACATTCGCAGAAAAGAAGGATATGGTTGTTCTGTGAACTGTTACTGTTGCTTTGAGACAAGGGTGGTGGTGCTCATCAAGGCCTTGACCTCCTGATTCTCATGCCTCTGCTATCCAAGTGCTGGGACTGCAAAAATGCACCAAAGACACCCTACAGAGGCCCTGGGACCAGGGTCTCTAATCAGGACTAAACTGTGATAAACCAGGACTGCAGCTGTTTGCAGTGCAGGGATGCAGAGATGGATTCACTGGAAATCCCGTGGATAAAGACTCAGGATAAATTCCCAGAGATGTACATCAGCGAATATGGACTCGCCTTTTCTTTAGGGACTGAATTTCATGCCAGGTCATTGTACACAAAGAAATTCCCTAACTGAACATGTACTTATCCACAATGGAGACCCTGCAGTCCACGGCCACACACAACATGTACTCTTCTTCTCCCTGCCCACCCTTCATCCTCTTATAATACACTAAATAAATCTCTTCCTCTCCTTCTCTCCAATAGAAAATGAGATCGAGTCATTGGCCACCATTCCCTTCCCCAGTTGTCTACGGCAGTGATAAAATCTGTGCTCTAAGGAGAGTATTAGTAATTTGAGCACTTGGATTCCTTACCATAAACTGAAACAACTTCTTACGGTCACAAAATTTTCCGGTGAAACTTGTGGTAATTGTAACAACTGAGATGTGACGGTATTTTTTTAGTGTGTGAACATCAAAAGATCTGTGGACTTAGTCAAATCATGGCCTTGTTTAAAAAATAAATATTATGACAACAATGTAAAAGACTCACTTGTGGACAGGAATAGAGTAGATAGCCATGAAGGAGTCAGTGATGCTTCAGGGTCACAGTGTAAATAGCCTTGAACAAGCACCACCTGTGTCAACCTAGTCACGTATCAAAGGTAAAACTCTACACTGATCAGGTGTGGTGGCTCACGTCTTTAACGACAGCACTCTAGAAGAGGCAGGTATATCATTCTGTGTCCAGTGCTGTTGTGGGGTATTTGGACACTGTGCGAAGATATATTGCTGTGATTGGTGTAATAAAAAGCTGAACTGCCAATAACTAGGCAGGAGGTATAGGTGGGGCTTCCAGGAAAAGAGAGAACGCTGGGAAGAAGAAAGGCAGAGCTGCCTGCCAGATGTGGAGGAAGCAGGAGGGGCCATAAAGAGATGAGATAACAAACCGCTTACCAGAACACAGGTTATAAAATATAGGTTAATTTAAGTTATACGAACTAGTTAGGAACAAGCCTAAGCTAAGGCTGAGCACTCACTAGTAATAAGTCTCCCTGTCATTGTTTGTGAGCTGGTGGTCCTAAGGAGAAAGTACTGCTACTCCATGCAGCCTAGTTTACATAACAAGCTCTAGGCAGTCTGGGACTACATAGTAAGAACCTGCTCAAAACATCATCTACAATTATCTGCAGATGTTCATGAAAAGAAGTTCTCCTTGAGCTGGAGACGTGCCTCGGCAGTGAAGAGCACTTGCTGCTCTTGTAGAAGAGCAGTGTATTCTTCTCACCCAGGCTCCCTAGCCCACAAGTTCCTCAAATTCCAGGTCTGTGGTTTCTGTTTCCCTCTGCTAGCCTCACCAGGCAACTGCATTTCGGGCATGCAAACAGAAGGGGGATGGGGTGACAAAAAAATAAATATAAATTAATGTATATATAAAAAACTCCTCTCATATTTCTGTGAAACTGTACATTCCAGGCTATAAAAGAAACCAAAAAGTTTAGAGAGAGACAGACAGACAGACACAGAGAGAGACAGAGAGGAGAGAGAGATAATGAGAAAGGTTAGAAAAAGGACATTCAAAAATGTAAACTTCCTAATCATCTGTCTTTTATCATATCAGTTAAATTTGGAAAATAGTTACTTCTCTCTTGAAATACTCTACATACAATCAATTTGTAATATCTCCAATGAGGCAAATGTCTCAAAACTCCTGGTTTCTAACATGCTGAATATGGGCTGATACCCACGTAAGCATAATTACTGTTGAAGTGTACACAATTTCTAAGCCTATGTAGAGATCTTGACATCAAGGCATGTGAGAAATGCTGACTTCCTGGCTTCTAGGTTGGACTCAGAAGTATGTGGTTACCAGGACTGGGATGACAGGCATCAGAGTGAAGCAGTGTGTGCCCAGACACTGCCCCAGGACACCAGGTGCCAGCACTTAGGTAGAGAATCAGAACTCAGGTGCTGCTCCCAGAAGTAACTTTTTCCATTACCCAACCCAACAGGCAGCTGTCATTCTCACTGGGAAGCTTTAGAGAAGACATTCAGCTTCACTAAGGCCAAGGTTATAAATTAAACCAGAGACCAGTGGAGACTCAAACCTGAGCCATTATTCAGGATGAAGACCCACGAGCCTCTCTTTCTGCTGTTGGTGGTCACCGAGGTTCTTGGTGCTCTTCTTCCTGTTCATCCTTTAATCCCTTGCAACACACTTAATAAATCTCTTCTCTCCTCCTCCAACAAAAACTGTGACACCAGACACCAGAAGGTGAGTGCAGGGAGCAGAGGGACAAGTCCTCTGCAGAGCTGAGCAAGGGTACAAGGGAGGCAGCCTTTGTTGTTGCCCAAAAGGACTCTCTTGTCACCCAAGCTAGGCAGGTTCCTGCTTTGCTCCCTCCTGGCCTGTGCTCCTAGAGTGTGACCCTGGAGAATTTTACCTATCATCACTTGCCACTGCTAGGTTCACAATCTCTGTGGATTTCTACACTCTGCTGTCCCAGTCTGGCCTCCCAGAGATTCATTCATTACTTTTCAGCTCAGTGGACCACATGGAGTTTGTGTGATTCCACAGTGAGGTGGACATTCCCAGGATGCAGCAGGGGCACAGTGGGTTGGTTGTGAAGAAATAACAGAAGTAGTACAGACAGGAAGCCACACACACACATCGTTGGGTGAATTTGAGGATCTTGCTTCAGAAACAAAACAGAGGCAGGATGGAGAGTGACGGGAGTCAGTAAGCAAGACCTAGAGCCATCCTCACCCATGGGATCACAGCAGCTCAGGTCTCCAGGCTCATGCTAACCTACCAGACAGTTAAGTCTGACAATACAGACTCCTTTCATCCACATGGAGTGAATGACATACCAGGTACCTGCACACATACACACACACA